GGCATTTGGGCTATGTCTGCAGGGGCAGTGGGGAGAGCGGGTTGCTGCGTGGATCAGTGGAGTGGGGCTACTGACGTTCGTTGTGGATGCTACGGCAACGACATTGCTGCGTGGATCATTGCTGTGGGAGGCCGTGGGGGGTGAGAGAGTGACTACCACGTACGACTGGTGATGGTGCAAAGCCGCAAAGCAGTGTCTTTATCGCAGTAAGCTGTGACTCCCTTGAGCTTTGAAGAATACGATAGACGACAGTCACACACCGTGGGCTATAAAGTGTGCCATTGCGTCTTCGACGCAGAAGCCACCTACATTTCAGGGGGTGGGGTGGGGTGGGGATAATGACGTCTGTTGTGGATGCTATGGCAACGACACGTGAATATGACAATGTGCATCATGCTGCCTGCACCTGCAGCAGCTGCGTTTTCGTGACAACATGTAACGTGTCTACTTCAAGGCTTCCAAGCATGTGCAATTTGCCCGGCTCATTAACCACGTGTCCACCTTGTTTAAGCAGGGGATATGGTGCAACATTTTTCGATCCTCGAAAGGGTTTCCATTCCAGCCATGTCGAGTCAACTTGTTGAGGTTGGAGTGTCTCGCCATCACAGCCAGTGAACATGAGCGTGGCGGATGCTTGGAAAACATTTGGATACACGAGGCCGACAACGGACCACAAGCGCTATCAAGTGCTTGGACTGAAACATTGAAGTTCGCTCAAGACATTGACATACATATTGCATATGTTATATATATTTATATGTCATGTATTATTACCAATTACGTTTGGCTAGCCACTGTTTGCGCGAGTCAGTGCACGCATGAACATATTCCATGTCGTTCGCAGTGAAATGCCTTAACATGTCAATATAAATCCAAACCTGATTTTCAAGAACAATGGACAGTGAAACAACAAAAACAGGGAAAATGTTTACGGCTACTGTACCGCTTGTAAGACCTGCACGTGTGAACTGAATTGGCAAGCGCACCCGGCGCACCCATAGAAATTCCTGTTGCCCTGCCTGCCATTCAGGGAGGTCAGGAAGGCAGCCAACAAAGTCCAGCAACACCATCCAAGTGCCTCAAGCGCATGCGCAGAATGGGACGTTGCACGACTTGCAAGTTCTATAGAAACAGATCAAATCCTGATGATGATATGTTGGCGTGGACAAGCCAGTTGGAATGGAATTGACACTGCCAAAACAGATCCATTCTATTCAACCCTTTCTATGGCTTCTGCCAAAGGACCTAGGAAGACAATCGACGTAATCAGCTCGGACTTACCCTCCCATTCCATGTCCGGCGAATTATGAACACCCAGAACCTCAGCTTTGTCATACAAAGTCGATGGTTTTCCAGTACATCCAGTACCAAGGACATCCTTGGGAACCAAGTCTTGCAGACCAAGCTCTACGAGGCCGCACTGGTGGCCAGCTCCAAGATGGAGGATCTCAGGCGAAACGCCGTGGTGTGGCGCTGTTTGACTAGTTGAAGGGTGCCTTAAAAGCACTATCGAACATATTCAAACATCATGATTCATGATCGGACAATATATATATATAGGATATTATAGAATTATATAGAGATTCTCCAACATTCTCCCAATACACCCTGCAAGTTCCCTACTGTAAGTAGGAGACTAGCACTATGTCTGACAAATTAAAGTGGCATGTTCCGTAAAAATCCACCTGCAGTCCCCTGTGGCTCCAGTTTATCATGCATACCTGATACTTTAAGACTTTCTCTGATGAAAACATATACGGCCAAACGGAAATAACCTGGGTTATTGCCCCGCCTGAAAGTTTTGTTATCCTGAAAGATGTGGGCAACGTGCAGCAACATCAGTTGGACGTCAGGTGGTGATTTTGATTTACTCGTAGCAAGGACTTGTGCTTGAACAGACGTCCTTTGGTTAACACAAAAATAGACAGATGACATCCCATGTCCATGTTAGGGGAAATTTCTGGATGAGATACCGTGACTGCCGTCAACCCATTTTGTCCGAGGTAGGTCGTACCTGTCTGACTGAGTTGGGTTCCTGTCAGTCCTACCTTTTACGCTGGTCTTGTGACAAGATTGGTGCTGAGATGATGGGCATCCAATTTGTTTGCCACCGCATCAACCTTTTAATCCTTGTAAGCTTGCTCAGAAGCTCGAGAAGGATGTTCTTTCTCTAAGAAAATCGTTGGCCAGGGCCTCGTTGGGTGCTGCGAATGATGCTTTGCTGACCAGCTCCACGATGGAGCTGCTTGATTGCACAAGGGGAATGCTTTTGGTCCCATGCACCTAGTGTGGTGAAGGACACGCAAAGAGCAGAAGCAACAATGACGAGCGAACCTGTCAAAGCTGGGCGCTGGATATTTTTTTCAAAAGCTGGTTCCCGAAATACCAATGTCATTCGCCCAGCTTTTCGACTTAGGGACATAGGGAATGGTTGCCGACAGCAGTCTGCACGGCAGGTCCAGCATCGGGATAAGCCCCAGCTGGGCTGCCTTGGCAGCAGAGATCTGGGTGGAACCACCCTCGGAGCGAAGAGCGAGACTCCGGTTTAAGGCGGATCCGGGGGGGAAGAAATACCAACCCTCCAAAGGCAGCAATTTTGGAATTTTGGAACACACACACATGAACACACCAAACTCCACCACATATACATTAACATTAGGCATGACATGAACAGCTGCCTCCAAGGGATTGAAGATAGAGGCAACTCCACATAGTAGCGCAACGCGGCCAGATCCTTATCCGCCAGGGCAAGCCTTTGAAGAACCTTCAACCTTGTTGAAAGAGGAACCGGAGTAGCCTGAGCCAACAAACAACAGTCATCAATCCAGGTCCTGGTGACCGAATCCAGCACCGGAAGTTCCTCACCTGTGGAGGCCTTCCAACCAGTGTAAAGCTCAAGAAACTGAACATCCGGAGAAACACACCGATGCGACCAACCTAAAATATTTTGTATAAACAACCACAGGAAGGCCAAAAGTTATGTGATAGAGCAAGAAAGGTCTGGTCGAGGCTAAGGGCAGCTGAGCTGTTCTGCCAAAGCGCTCTCACATGCCTGCTGAGAAGAGTGAGGAAGCAATGCCATGGGCATTCACAACCGCCAACAAAAAGCCTTGATAGGTCACCAAGTCTTTTTAGGCCTCTGAAAAGCTGATAGACGGTTCAATTTGGCAAATCCAGCTGCAGCATCCGCAGCTGCGTTGCCAACCACTCACCACTGTTCAAAAGGGCCCGGAATCCAATCTGAAGGCATGTGGCTCCAATTTTTTTTGGAGACCAAAGTTGGTAAAGCTGTAATCAGGTTGATCTTCATGATCGATCGTCATAGGTCCGGCCAGGCCGAAATGACCCACTTCAAAGAGTGGAAAGAAGATGGAAGAAGTGCTGTGAGCTCTGCACGTGTGGGCTGACAAAGGCCCACAGCCACCCACTGGTCACCGTGCACAGGTTCCATCCACGACAACATGAGAACCCTGCACGCCCATGGTCAATTCTGTAACTCCCACCCGTACGCAATTCGAGTAGAAAGTCGTGGGCACAAGTCATGATATTTCATACTAGCTGGAAGCTGTCGCCATCTGCGCATGAATCGATCTCTTTCAGCCCGCAAAGATACATGGTGTGGACACTCTTCCAGGGGGGGCGCAAGCCGTCCCGGGTCCTAATGGGACTTGGAATATTAAGTGCAGAACTTGCCATCTTGGCAAGCCTTCATCGACCCAATCCGGGACACGTCAGTTATTGAAGGAGCAAATTCATACGCTTCCACCCTCTCAGAGTCCGGCCTATGAGCAACCTCTGAAGCCTCACAAGTCCACCAATCATCTCGGAAGACCAAACCCATTTCCTGACCAGAAGACGATGCTAGTGAAAAGCGGAGGCCAAACTGTGCGGTGACCCACGGATCTTGTCATCGACATTCTACCCAAGAAAGCTTACCCTCGAATTGGCCATGAAACCTCTTCGAAACCGCATCCTCCTAATCATATGCCTCAGATCCAGCAATACAGCTTTCCACTTTAAAAGTCGGATCCAAATCTGGTTGATGCACAAAACCAAGGCACAAGATCGGAAAGGTGTTCTGTTTGACATGTGGATTTGACTCTGCCGAACAAATAGGGACCTGGAGGACTACAAAACTTTCAATGCAGCTTTGACAAAGACTATATATATACTATAACTATTGCTTGTTAAAGCGAATGGCATGGTATAGGATCATACAGGCTAGGTCAACTCTGACATGACTGAGATGGAAGACTAGTAGATGGACACCGAGTAAATGGAAGCCTTGGGATTGGGATGTGTGGCAGGGAAGCTGCTTCCTCGATGGCAAGCCCCCTTCCACAAAAGGTGACAAGCGTGCAGCTTAGAGAGATTGGGACCGGAGGTGACTTGGAGACTCTCTAGTGCTATGGCTTCCAACCTAGAAGCAATGGCCTCCAACCTAATAGCGATGACCTCCAACCTACTAGCTGCTAGTAACTAGCAATGGCCCAATAGTGATGGCCTCCAACATTCACATCGGTTTCCAAGTGCTAATGAGCTCGGCGCAAAGATGGCGCTGAACACTTTGCATTCACAGCACCTTGCGTGGCAAAGAATGAGCGCATCATGCAAGATTTTGCTGTTTCAGAATGCGTTGATGCGTATGAAGCAAGTTTCTTGAACACCATGTCAGTTTCAAAAACTATGCCAGTTTCAGTTTGCTCCTTTCCTTGCTGTGTAACTGGCGCTCGAAACGTCTCATCCAAGCTTCTTGGCTTTGCCTCTTGTTGCTCAAGTTGAGTTGTACATAGGCGGAGCCGCTGCTCCGCACGTGGCCGCGCTGGCCGCGCATGGCGCATGGAATGTACTGTCGATTTTGAATTGGCAATGCATGACGCTAGTTGTTCACCTCAGTCTTACAGCAGCATGAAGCAACTCCTAGTATCATGAAGCTACCAGCAACAAGTGCATCGCTACTACTAACAAGGGCAGTACTAGTAGTAGCTTCTTGATGTTCCAAGCGTTTAAACAAGAAGTATTGAATCAGCACGGACACGAGCTGTAGGAGGAAGACCTCAGGCGGGGATGCTGTGTTCATGATGAATCCTATATCGTAATGTATACGCCCAAGAATCATGAACGACTATATAAAACATATATATATACACATACATATTCTGTACATTCATAAACTGCAGTTAAGAGACTGTTCAAGGCTCTATTTCCCGATGTATTTCAAAGCTCCCAGGCACTAGATGTCAGTGTGGGGCCTGTTGGGGCTTGGTCGTCAGGATCACCGGGAAGACGATGTCTGAGATCAGCGAGGAGGGAGCCATCCGTTGACACTATGATTTTGGCCCAAGCTTCCCACAGAGTCAGGGAGAACTACATAAGTGACCATATCTGGAACAACCCACACACTCACTGTTGGAATAGATGAATATCGTCACCCTGCATCGCCTCTGTTCAATTATAGCTTGTCTCAGGACAGAGCTGCAGGCTGGACTTCTCCAGATCGGGAGGCCTCGTATGCTATGCATTTGACTCTGCAAGTCGAGAGTCAAGAATGTTTTCTTTACTTTACTTCTCCTTGGCAGACCCCACCGGTCTTGAACTTCACAACGCGTTTGTTTCTACCAATAGGAGTGCTTCTTTGCATCGCTTAAAGAGCCAAGTGCAAGGGTGAGGAGCCCTGCTGGCTGGAGCCCATGGCGCCATGGTGTGCCCAGGAGGTGCAGCTCAAAGCATTCTTTTCTCAGACCTTTGACACCTGGTTACGCTTTGCTAATGTGTCCAGCCGCAGAGGTATTGGCTTGCATCAACCGGTTTTTGCATTTTGAGAATGTGTCGCTCAGAAACAGCTTTCGGATCTTAGAAAGACTAGACTAGTGACTATAGTTTGAAGTAACAATCCCAAGGTCCCCAAAGGTCAAGATTATTCACATCTATCCTCCTTTGCATCACATCATCTCTTACTCTCTCATTATTTGCAGGACCAAACACCGCAGCTGCCCTTTTGGACGATTGAAGATGAGACTCCTGACCACGTGGACCGAGCGGGCCTGTTCATTGAGGGCTCGCAGATTGACAGCGAATCCGGTGTGGCCTTTAGGCGTGCGCTAATGAACTTTACAAGACGCCACCAAGCAATCGACTGACTTCAATCCTTTTCCTCAGAGATAGCCTCTCATTTTTCGAAGAAATCTTTCTTTGGAAGCATGCTGCTCTAAAACTTTCAGATTGATTCAAAACCTACATACTAGTATTAAGAGAATCTTACAGCCACAGACTGGGAGTGGACAAAGCATTTATTTGTTCATTTTGTTTTCGTTTTTATCATATTTTTTTTCATGCCCATTTGTGTCTTTTTTCATGTACATGTGTGTTTTCGTTTGCATCATCTTTTTCTTTTACACGCCCACATGTGTTTGTTCATGCGTGATTGCGTTTATCGTTTGCGTCCCCTGAAGCGAAGGCTGCCAAGTCACTTACTCCTGAACCCTCTGGGCGCTCTTTGCTACCCTAGTCGGCTAGTCACTTCCTTCTAATTCTATTTAGCTTTAGCTGTTGTGAAATGTAGTTAAACTGTCGTTCACGCGTTGCCGAAACTATCTGAACTTAAAACAACATGAACACTAACACATTAAATTAACATATATACATGAATTAAACAACAATGTTGCCAATTTGTGGCCGACACTAGCCAAAACGATCATGAAAGACAAAAGAATGCTGGAGCTCAATTGCAATTGCCCCCCCTGAAGGAAAGGCGGCCAAGTGAGCTAGTCCTGAACCCTCTTTGCTGGTGGGTCACACATTTCCTTCTGTTTTGCTTTAGCTTTTATGAAAGGGACTTGACTATTGTTGATTTGTGGCGGAAACTAGCCAAAACGAAAAAAAAACAACTCGAGGAAAATCACATGTTTCGAATTTTAATCTGTTTTAAAGACATTTTTTTTTTTCGTTTTTCATGTGCTTTTTCGTTGCTTTGTGGCCGAAACTAGCCAAAACGAAAAACACATGGAAAAAAGGAAAAACCGCGAGGAACATTGCAATTTTTCAGCGAACAAACCCTTTTTTTTTGAACATTCTTTTTTCGTGTTGCATTTGCTTTTCATTTTTTGTTTTTTGTATTTTTTTCGTGTGGCATTTTGGTTTTCATTTGGTTCATCTTTTTTTTCATTTGTCATTTTGGTTTTCATTTGGGTCATGACAGTTTAAATTATTGTTTCTGACAAGTTCATGTGTGATTATAGTTTTCATTCAGGGCTGTCTCTTCACTAACCTGTTTTACTTCCCATCCCTGTATGACAAATTTCTAGGCCACTAAGCCACTAGGCTCAGGCTTTTGGGGCCCAGTGGTTTAGCTCAGCAGCTTGCAAGTTGCATTCCACGATTTTGATCCTTGGTTTCGATTGCTCGGGAAGGGATGGGTGAGGGAATCCCTTCACGCATCTATATATAGTTTGGGGCGCTGACTGTGACCGAAGTGATTTTGGAAGCCCATGGGAAGTGACAGTAAAGGCAACCAGTTTTGGAAGGATGAACATGACGCAAAAAAATGATAACCCCAAAAGAAATGAAAATAAAACAAACATATTTTGTAAAAATAATGATGATCTAAGTGAAGATCTAAATGAAAAAATAGACAAAATCAACTTTCCACTGCCTGGCTGGCAAAGATGGACTTAATACTAGTACAGTACTAGTACTAGGTCCCTAGAATTTATAGAAAGGCAGTCTTTGACTGCCCTGGTGATGCTTTTGTAAAACTCTCAGGCAGGAGCTGATCTGCAGCGTTTTGCTAAATTGGTGACACCGCAATTGGACCCTCCTCCTTGCTGCCACTATAGTAATGTAATTGGGTGGGCCCACAATTGCAACATATTAACAACTAAGTATCGTTGCCTCATGGATAGCAGAAATTGGTGAATGGTTCATGTGCATTGCATGATAGCATGGAGTTTGCGGCAATTTGCGAGGACACCATCCTGGAGTTCCACGTCTTTCCATGTGGCGATTTCCAGCGTGGTTTTTGTGCAAAGCACGGGGCCCGTGGCAAGGCGCCAGCGGCGCGGAAACGGTTATTAGATATATATATATATGTTATTTTTTTGTTCTAGACCTGAGGCAGTATGTGATGTAAGTAATAATTGCAGAATGTTATATGTATATACACACAGTGTTCCTTCCTTCAAGTGCGGGAAATGCGGCCAGACCTGTGCCCTGAGATCTATCAAAGCATTTTGATTAGTCGGATGCGATGGATGGCGGAAAACTCCACCGCATGAAGAGTGGAAATACCATAGATCAGATAGCGGTTTTTGTTGCCTTCAAACAGCAGACCAGATTCAGATCATAACAATAGATTCCACGATGCAATCTTCAGAAGCACAGACTGCCAAAACCAATGTCGAAACATGTGTAGATTATTGTAGATTGGATCTGTGGACATGCACTTTCTTCACGGAGGCCCACCAGTGTCGAAACTATCATTTTGAGTCCGGGGACTTGGCAGACCGCAAGAACAGAACGACCGAAATGCTGGCGCTTTTGGCCTGACACAAAGCTCCACACCGGAGAGCACCGATTCCTTGGAGCAGTGCTCAAACTGCTGTAGTGGGGCTGCCGATCAGTCTGGCAGAACAGGCAGAGCCAAGTTTCCAAGGGTGGTTGGTGCGACCTTCAAGACACCCGGACCCAGATTGAAGCAGTGATTAGAAGGATTCAAGCATATCGTGAGATTTCATGAGAGAGCACTGCACCTCTGCATTCCTCCAAATTACTGAGATCACAGCGTCGGCGCAGAGCAATTGACCCCATCACAGGACAATTGTCGAGAGCTCAGATGCGCAATACAGCCCCCGTTGGGGCTTGCAGCGTCCCACGACAGGCCTTTCTGCTCCCTTTCAAGTGTCTTTTCCCTTTTGCCTTGCTTAATCTAGCTTATTTTTGACTACTTTTGACCACATAAATGTTATCTCTTGTCATCATGTCGATTCCAATGGATGCTTTGGGTTTTATTTGATGCTCAGGACCTATTGGGACACTCCGTGCCCATCGTGGAGTCTAGAGATGGGGTGTCAGGAACCCTTGAGCAGCGCCAGGTGACGGCAGAGCTCGGGACATTCAAGCTACATGATATGCCATTTTGATTCAGAGGGCTACAAAGGCTTCCGCACAGCATACTTCAGAGTTCATGGCTAGTTGAGGCAATATTTCCACACTCGCAGTACTATGTTCTGCCAACTACTTTCCTGGCTTGCACCTGCAAGCTTAGGTTCCTTGGCTGGTGATTCTTGCCCCTTAGCACATGGTCGTGAAGAGGTGGGTATGGGCGTGGTAGTTGGGAAGCTTGAACATCTGGCAAACCGAGGTGTCCTTTCACCCGGCCAAATACAAGACTAGAGCCTGCAATGGTTTGGACCTCAGACTCGGATATAGAGTTGGAGGGAAGGACAGAGGGATCTATTATGTATTCAAGGATCCCGGGAATGATGAATTTGATTCGGATTGGATCCACCGATGATTTTGCCGAAGTCACGAAGTCTCTCGCGTTTTTTTGTTCAGGTACAGATTGTCGTGGTGAAGGAGCGTGTTGCTTTGCTCACAGCAATGATGAGTTAAGGCCAGGGCGGCCAGGGTCACAATGCTCGCGTTTGCACTTCTCTTGAGCTGGGCATCCGGTACGGAGGTCATCGCTACTAGTAGCAAAGGGCATCGCTTACGAACGTAGCTCCTGGCCTTACTACTAGGAGCAGCTTGGACTGAGCATGCCATCTATGCAGGCAGCATGCGCCAGGGCGATACTCATACTTCACAATCTCGCTGGGGCCTCAAGCCATGGGCCTTTGGTTTGGGCTGGAGGCTACTACGAACAAGGACGCTACTAGGGGCTCTTGACCTTACTACTAGGAGCCAGGACGCTACTAGGAACAAATGTCCCTTTGGGCCAGTCCAGCCCACAAGCGCTTGAGGTCCAAGGGCCAAAGTGGACCAGAGACCTGCGCCAGGAGCTGGGCTGACAAGACTTCGATCTTCAAAGGCATTGAACACAAGACGGAAGCTAGCCCGAAGAATCAGGAAGGATTCTTTAATAAGCTTCTTTCCATTCTTCCCGCTTCAATCAACAAGACAATTCCCTTCGCCACACTGTCTAGAAAACGATATAAGAATTGTATAAACAAGATTGCTGGGCAATCCCCAGCACCACTCCATTGAGCTGAATGTTGTACTCTGTCCCTGAAGGAGCACCGAAGTGCTCGGACGCCGCCTGAGACCTTGGTTTGGAATGTGGGTTGGATCCAGAATTTGGAAAAGCTGAGAAGCACTGAACACAATGCCGCTTTGCAGTTCGATTCGCAAGGCTTTGGGGGAGCATTATATTTTTACAGACTACGCTTGGATACACTTGGTACCACTTGGTGCTTCCTTATGGCTTTGCCTCTCATATCCTCTCATCAAGTTGGCCCAAACTTGCTAGGATTCGTAGGCACTTCCGATGAGGAATGCTCGGACCTTTCCAGAATGCTTGACATCGGTGTGTGAGGCCAGGGTTTGCCCCAGAAGGCCCGCTTTTGCGCCTTCTATCCGTTGGGAGCCCATGCCCTTTCTGTAGGCTCACGGCTCACGGAACACAATTTTGTTGTTTGGACTCATTTTGAGAGATCAGATTCCTTGTGCAACTCGGTGTTTGTGAGGAACGTGAGCCAATGCCGACGCGGTGCGGCGTGCTCCTTTGCACACACCAGAGAGGAGGCAAACAGAAGATATGGCACAATGTGGGCTGCAGGGGCTGTGCCTGCTTCTGCTTGCTTGGGCCTGCTTGCACGTGCTCGACAGGTGCAGACTAAGCTGCTTTCTCTGGAAGAAGAGCAACATCAAGAAGGTGCAATGACACAATCCTTCTTTACAAGGACCTTCGTTTGGATCTGCAAAAGACAGGCAAGTCATGGAGCGCAGTTGTGGTCCCGCTCACTAATCTGCCATTCCATCCTTTGCCTGCAGGAAATTCAAAACTTTGTGGTGCCCGATCGGTGCGCAGCATGACTGGCAAACCTGTGCACCTGCCTAAGCGGCCTACTGTAAGTGTCCTTGGTTCATGTTGGTTTGTGTATTGACATGCGTTGATTCTTTCAAGACCGAGAAGAATCCAGAAGATTCACATCCAAATATTTAGGCACCCATTTGTTTCGCAACCATCTTCGAACACTTGCAAGGCATTGGCCGAGGTTGCTGCATGTGGGCATTGAGCATTGGGTGCCTGCATGGAATTTGTTCCAAGACATGCCTGACATATCCCAGGTCTATGCTCACACCTACCAGGATGCCAGGCGGCAGGCCGTGGTGCCTGAATTGGGTTTGGCCGCTACATTGAGAACCCATGCAAAACTAACAGACTGATGGGACACAGCTTCAAGGCGTGAAAAGTTCACAAGAGCATGCTTGTGAAGCCATTTCTTCCCATGCCAGCCCTCCATCGGATATGGCCCCCAGCCATGCCCCTTTTGGCAGAAGAAGGACTGGGTGCTGAAGATCTTTTGGTTGGAGTGTACAGGGACAAAATTGAGTCGCTACTCGTATCAACTCAGAACGCATGTTTGTCCGAACATGAAAGATACTTGTACATTCAGGGTCGGGCCAATCGTGCATTGTGTAGGAGACGCGTGTCTGCCACTGAGAATTCTATCTTTTGAGAGTTTCGTCAATATTTGTCAATAGCGGTTCCGTGGCAATGCACCAGCTATCAGCTATTGAACATCTTAGATGTTTAGAACGCCCCCTTAGAGGCTGGCAGTAGCCAGCTTTGCCCCAAGGCAGCCTACTCACAGCGGTGTCCCTTGGGACTCCGTTGTCCCTATTCCCATGGTGCAAAGGCGAGGGTTTCCGATCCACAAAACCTCGGAATGCGGTTTTGTGTGGAAGTTGGAAGATCTAGTAAAAGCATGGCAGTTTGATTCTGGATGACTTCAATACATGGATTCTGGTTTGCAACGCAGTGGCTTGCACGTTGTTTGGACTCATTCTATTTGTTCAGGTTTTACTGTTTAGCCTCTTCATTCCCAAGGATGTAGGCAGGGAAAGTGCAGACACTTGGCAGGAGCAACTCTACCACCCGAAGTACTTCCGGACCAGAAAGTGGAAGGTTGGTGTTTGTTATGGGCTGATCCAGTCAGGTCTGGCCACAGTGATGTTGACATCCTCGCACATGAATGCCAGCGCTTGGCATGTGGTATATAAGTCTGCATCAGAGTTGTTGTTCCATCATGTTCCATCTAAGTTTGAAGTGACACAACAAGTGGTGGAGCCACTCAGAGCCGCTCATTACCGTTCTGAATCAATCCGCTGTGCGCACTGTCCAGAGAGTCTCTTTGCAGGACAGTGACTTGCCGAGACATGCAGATGAAGGGAGCAAGCCGGCATGGTTTGCAGTTGATGGAAGACAAGAGAGGGCTCGTGGTGTATCTTGCCTAGGATGTGTTTAGCATCTGCAGTCACAACATGTCCCCATTCCCTCCAGCATTTGAGCAGGGTGTCCCAGACAGCGCTTGTGTGCCTTCTACCATCGACGATCAGAACACCGCAAACAGCGCTGACCCAAGTATGTAGCGCTTGGGACAGTATGAACAAACGGCCATATACAAGCACATCAATCTTGACGGGAGTGCGACCGTGCTACAAATACCAAACTGTTGCACAGTGGCATCCTGTCATTGGAATTGAAACTGGTCAGCTGATTTGGCGCATGGTTGAAACATGCTCCAACACAAGTTGCACTGAAACAGATCGCCTACTGAGAGCAGTGTTTTGGCTTCGCAGCCGGAACCAAGGACTTCGCCCGACAACCACGACTATGACCATCCTTTGCCTGCTGAGGTAGGACATGGTCCTTAGCTGTATTGAAGGTCTCCTCAAATCTGAGGCGAGTCATTCAAGCCAATCTGATCCTTGGGCCAGGTCATCGATTCAGATTGGGCAGAGTCCTTCCTCAACCCTCCGATTTTCGACAATGATGACGAGGCTTGCATGCACAAGCAAAACAACCAGCCCTGCATGAAGGATTGTTCAAGCTTGGAAGCTCTTTTCCCTCGCCTCGCTTCAGGTCGCACATACAAGCTTGTCAACTTACGATAATGCGCAGGCATATTGCAGCAGTGTTTCACACTGATGTTGGTTTCCATGGTTTGTCATAAGACTTGGAGACCCAGTTGATTTGGTTTGATCTTGCAGCTGCTTCGCGCAGGCAGATTCTCTTTCCGAGGTCCCTAGCATTTCCCTCGGACACTGCTAAACAAGAAACGAAACAACTCCACAGTTGTAGGAGAGGTTTGAAGAGGAAGTATATACCCAGGTCAAATGAACAACGAGCACCCCTATGGTAGCGGGTTCCTTCTTGCAACATTTTGTGCGCCGAGATTCTTTCCTGGACCTGCAAAAATAGCCCTAGGCTACAACGGACATTGAAGACATTTGTCCAGAAACGATGTCAACCGCTTTCACAACCATGCTATTCAGACTTGGAGAAGGAATCCATCTAACTTAGGGTGGAGGCCATCCATCTTAGGGTGGAAGCCATCGCTAGTAGGTTGGAGGCCATCGCCATCGCTCTTAGGTTGGAATCCATCCAACACTGAGGTCAGGTCAAAGTTGACAAGGTGAAGGCGGCCCAGGTGGGGCGAGTCGCACCACTGCATGCTTGCGAAGGAGCTCCTTCTGACTTATATAACAGTATATATACAGTATACAGTATACAGTATACAGTGTGTATATATATATAGATTTAAATTAATGTAGAGAGAGAAGGGGTACGGCGTTGTGGTTGCAGCTTTTAATGTTATAATGTTTTTGGATATTCGAGTCAAGAAGAAAGGTGGATTGTCATTCTTAGTCCTTTGCTGCTTTTGCAATTCTTGCTTTTACTTTTATGATGTCCAGGGTGACCTTCCACAGAAAGTGTCAGTCAGCGCTGCCTTTGCCTTGCTGGGAGCACAGCCGGGAGGTTGTTGTTTGGACAAGCGACGAAAAAAGGAAAGGAGGTGTTTGGGTCCCTTGAATAAAGGGGCCTAAGCTGTTTCTTTTTCATCTCTTTGTCCACTGGCCGACCTTTAAGGTCGACCAACCTTCTTCACCCAAATCCAAAACAAGCGCATACTGCCTGCTGCTCAGTTGGGGCAGTGGTTTGTTTGTCCAATTGTGCAATCTGAGCTGACTGGCAGGGCAGGGCACTCTTGTTTAGTACAGAGTTTGTTCTTTAGGCTCCGCACTTCTGTTGGGCTTTGAGCTCAAAGCAAACAACCCAACCCAACCATGGAGTTTCCTAGTAACCTAGAAAGGTGTTGCTCCACACCATGAGACTGTGCTGAACACGACCGCAAGAAGCCAACTTTGCCAATGTAGGATGTGCTGAAAGGAACAGTGAATAGAGGTAGCGAGCGCAGAATAGCACAGCCACTGCAATAGATGGGGGCACATTGGCAGGTTTGCTTCATTTTTGTAAGTATCACTTTTTCATGTACAAGCTCACGCGTCCCACGACCCATGGCCTGAAGGACAACTGGACCTTGGATTTCTACACGGCCAGCACCTAAGGTTTCAAACGAATTCCAGGAACTCCAAGCAGCAGATCATCAAACAATGTTTTGACAATTACCCTCCTGTAATAGGATTCATGAAAGAATGGACGACATTTCGTTTCTGGACCTCCAGGCCAGCCAAAGGCAGCTGCGCCGAGGCCTATGGACCTGAGGGGTCAAATGGGTAGACGGTCCCACCAGTAGAAGAGGCATATTCATATGTGTGAGATCTTTGCCCTGGATTGAAAGCTGCTTGGAAACCCCTGCGGTTACTTGCTTACGATCAAAACTCACCAAAGCCATAAAAGCAAACTTAGAACTCAGGACAATCTGCTGTTGCCTAAAAACTATCCTAAGCTTTAACATTTAAAGCCGTAAGAGGTTCCAAAGAATGTTGAGAAATCAGATCAGATTCTCAGACTCATATTGAAAGTGGCTTTGAATGCAGCGAGTAAAGAGGTGTGGGTAGTATGAGGCCTGAACTGCTGGTGATTTAGGTTGGTGCTGGTACACCCAGCCCGAGCCGTTTGTTACATAGAACAGGCAACACACTGGCCGCCAAAAAGTAATTTTCTTCTGAAATGGCTTGGTTTGCATTGTAAAGAAGCTCAAACAAGCAACTACATAGTGCACCTGGGTCGAAGTCGCTAGCCCGTACTGACCAGGTACCCATGAGTCAGAATGGTGGAGCATGGTGCCGCGCTTGGAACGTCCCGGTCAGAAAGGGGGACTGGTGTATACGAAGCTGATTCGAGCGAATGTTTGCACAGCTAACCGAAGACCATTCATGTACTCCTGAAGCTCGTTTGGGCACATCATTGGAGCATTTCCCTGAGCAGCTTGCAGCCAGAGGCCAATGACGTCACTGAGCTCCTGTGAGTGTTTAGCCATTTGAAGGAGCCTGGATGCAGAATCTCTCATAATCCTAGGATTGTCATTGGGTCACCCTAGTTGCAAGAGGAGTGACCCCATTGTTCATCTGGTAGCCAGGGTCTAAGGAGGCTGCAAGGTTGGGCAGTTGAGACAGGGTCTTCCTGCAGGCAGGATGGTTTGACGTCAGTCTACATGCCTTTAGATTTTTCTTGAATTTTGCGAGCTGGTTTGCAACAGCTGAGATTATATATACGTTGTTTTGAACACATAATGTGATGCTGGCAACTAGGGTAGAGAAGCTGGTGTGTGGAGGTCCTCATTCTTGTGCCATTTTAGCTCAAGAATGAGAGACCAGGGACATTTCGTGTGTGGCATGTCGCCCGTTTTGCATACTCATTACATCCATTACTACGTGTGGTTGTATTTGGTGCTGCTGTGCCACTAGTGTGGTGACCAAGCCCAAATTGATTAAGTTTCCCTCAAAATCTAAAAAACCAAATCAGTAGTGCGAGCGCAGCGTGAGCTACCCTGCGTCCAGTAGCTAGTACCTACCTACCTCTAGCTACTAGCTACCTCTAGCGGCCTACCCCCCCGGGCTTTAACAAGTGCCACGCTAGTAGTAACAGGTGCCTTACTAGTAGTAACAATGCAATGTTTGCTACTAGGAACAAGTGCATCGCTTCTAGTATTATATATGGCTTTAACGCAATCCATCCTAACGGTTGTACTCTGCCACACTTGCAGTCTCGTCCCCACAGCATTCCTTCGGGCCATGTGCCTTCGCCATCGTCGTTAAATCGACAATGTACATAGTACAGCCTGCTCACTTGGAGCATAAGAAATTATGAAGGTCTGGCTTGGCTGTCCCACACAAATCTCAAACCATTTTATCGACTATTACAGTTAGGATCTCAGAAGGCATTTTGGAGCTGCTTGTTCTGGGAATGGTCGATTTTGGCGGTGGTTGCATTTGTGTGTTCGCCACAGTGTGACAGATCCAATCAGATCCACACCCACCACGCCAGTCTGTTCGACATAGCCTACCTTTGCCAGCTGAACTACATGATAAACATGCCTCCACACTCTGAGTTCCGCATGTTTCTCCTGTGGGTCACCGCAGTCCTTTCTCTTCCTTGCACTTGAATTTAGTCGTGAAGCAGGACTGTCTGCGGAGACAAGTCCAGCCGAATTCACAAAAGCAGTGACAGCGAAGTTTCCCGCTTTTGAAGCCTAGAGATCCGCAGCCAAGAGAGGAAAACATAAGAAGGTCCCTGTGCATCCAAACAGCCACTGGCCGTGCATCTTCATTTTTATCGAGCGGTTCAATCTTGTGCTTCGGAGATGCTACTGACGGAGCAATGCTGGACACTGCAATCTTTGGGCCAAAACTTGTGCCAGGCTTCTTGTTTCCGAGCTGGGAATTTCCCGGTCGAAAGTCTGGGGATGCCACTGGAATTCTGGAGCACTGAATCATGTGGTTTCTGTGTGATGCTGAAAGCCAGTCGAGAGCCGAATCCAGTGGTTCGGGTCGTTTTCCAACTTTGGCCTAACTTTCAACTGCCTGAGCCAGTCAAGCCCATGCTCAGTGCTAATGATCACCGCTGAGATGGCACCGATCCCATGGCGAAAAAGCTCCTAGTAATTAGCATCCTTGCTCTTAGAGTAAGGCCAGGAGTAGCGTTCTTGCTCCTAGTAGTGATGCCAGGAGCCCCTAGTAGCGTCCTTGTTCTTGCTGGAAGAGGCCAGAAACGTACAGTACTCAGTAGGTAGAACACTTGACATTTGTTTGTCGAAGAGGCCAGAAATGTTGATCGCGGAAATCTGCGATCTTTTTCTGACCTGTTCGGGTGATGAGTGATGAAGCCTGCAGCAGGGCTTAGCAAAATATTAAGATTGCAGACCGGAAGAATGAGGCAACTGAGATGGATTTTTGGGCTAAAACAATGTTATATATCGGACGTAACATTGCGAATCTAGTGATTATTTGTCCACCAACCCCCTGCAACGACCAATTTACTAAAGAACGGTCGTGAATTCAGGAATTTGGCTAGAAGCTGCAAAAGCGATAGGCCCCCCTTCAAACGCGATAATCTTGTTGAATCATGTCCTTTTCGTTAACAAGACGTCTCACTGTAGTATCCACTCACCCATTTCTTTATCTCTCTCTCTCTCTCTCTCTTACTCTCTCGTCTAGCCTCTCACTCTCTTTTCGTTAAGCAGACAGATGACCAGACCATGTTGTTGTTCTGGTCATGATTGCTTCTCATTGGGCAAAGGTCCCTGAGACGCCGAAGCATATTTGTTCTAGGCAGTCCAAATTGCCAAGCATTCCTTGTGGTCGAAGGGCCATTGCTAGCTCCACTTGTCTCTATGCCTTGTTTTGGGCTCAAGATCTTCCTGTCTTGGCTTTGCTTCGTTTCCGCGTCTTAGCAGCAACATTGGCTTGAACTGGAAGGGGCCAAATAGCATCAAGTAGGCAGTCAAATTTCTGTAAACTTTGAAAGGTCACTGTGCAAAGTGTTTCTTTTGTGTGTGTGTCATCCGCTTATGCGGATGTTCAGGGATCCGGTGTGAAAACGCGAAAACCGCAAAAAGACGCGAACACCGAGAACACAACGAGCACGCGAACACTGCGAACACTGCCTTCAAGCGAAGGTTAGAACTCGGTTTTCTAGATTTTCTCGTTTTCGCGGGCGAATCCGCTTAGATCGATGTCAAGAAACAATTGCCTAGAAAGGCACGAATAGGGTGTTTTCCTGCATGATTCGTTCTATCCATGAGCTATCATCACAGAGCACGAGAGTTTTCGGCCTTGGTGTGAGGTTTTGGCTCGGGAGCAGGCAGGACCGTGTTGTTGCATGTATTTAGAGGCATGGTCCATGGTTGATCTCCAACTTGCTTGTCGTGTGTAGTTGTTGTTCAGACTTGAGGTTTTCCGTTTTTCTGGGTTGGATGGGCCAGCAAAAAGCTTCCAGCACCAAACAAGTGAGTACCCGAAGTGCACTCATCCAGTCGGTGCGCATTCAGACCCAAGGCATGTCGGAAAAAAAGGAGAAGGTCTTCACTGCTGGGAGTCTCGACGCCGTCAATGCTGCCCATCCCCACATGGTACGCCAGCAATCACAAATGTCAGATCTGTTGCTTTTGTCAGTTTTCGAATGAAACGCGCAGACTGCAGGGTTGCGCAATTGTCGCACAAGCCAGTCTCTGTGGCTAGCACGTGCGCTGGTTGATGTCGGCTTTTCTGGCCAGGTGTGCCAAACATGCTTTTTTGGATCTTTTGAGTGTACCTTTGTCAGCTTGGCTCAAGAATGCCATGAGGGGTGTCACAGCCACGAAGATGGCGAGGCGAGGTGGAAGGCTCCAAGGTTTTTCTTTATGTATTCTTTTGCGGTTATTGATGGCAAACTTTTAGAGCTAAAGCAAGTACGTTGCATGAAAGGAGAGTTTTGTGAGGACGGGCGCTTCAACAGATCTTGTCTTGCAGATTGTATGGAGGTGGCCCTACACGACACTAAATCTTTGTGGGCAAGAAAACCACTCCGGAATGCCACTTCCCAGGTTAGCTTCTCCAAACATACATCTTTAGAGCCTGCGCCAGTGCATCAAAACAACCTTTCAGCGAAGCACCTCACAGGCTTTGTCACGGGCGTGTCCCGCTGCAAGTGTTCAGGCACGCCGTGTTTTCTTTATTCTTCTATGCGTTGCCGGTCTTGCAGATGTCACCAGCCTCGATCCTGAAAGATCTCACTCTTCTCAGGTACCGGAAGCTCGCCCGAAGCTTCTCGTCAACTGAATGGCTTGAAGCTAAGTTATATATACCGTATGAGCTTCAGCGGCTTCTCTTCAGCTCAGCAAGAGTCAGTCCAGTGCTTTTTGTCCAAGGAGCCAGTATGCCTCTTGAATGCAAAGGTTGTCTACAAGATCATGAGATGGTGCTCTCCAGATGGAGCGTTCAAACTGGGAGGCTGTGTTGGAGGCAATTTGATGAGTGAGATATCAAGATTTGGTGGTATCTAAGGCATACAGCACCCCGCTCTTCCGAAAGACCAGGAGCGATCCATTTGCTGCAGATTTCTTTTCCTCACTACCTGCCTAGCTTGAAAAGTAACGCCAGGAGAGAGGAACTTGCAGAGAAATGGGACAACCTGGGCTTCTCCATTCGACCAATGAATGGCCATGTCAGGCAGGCCAGCAATCACCAAAATTCCACTGGAGCATTCTGTGCTGCCATCGATAGACTCGGACCAATGCTCGGAGGTATACGTGGTCCGATGGCAACTGGGATTCCGGCGTTTTCGTCCCAGCTCCATATCAGTTGATGCACATCAATGCAGGATCTGCAACATGATGAACAGCATGCCTTTGCAAAGAACGGTCGTGGCTGAGGGAGGTCACGGTGGCCATATTGAATACGTGGTATCCCTCCGTTGTTCGCCAGGAGCCCTGCACTATGGTGTGTCGGCCTTTGAAGGCATGAAGGCGCATTGATAGCTAAAGCCAAAGCTGCAGATTCAGATAGCCATGCAAGAATCTAGAGTGTTTGAAGCCTACCCGTATGAAGGATAGACTAGCGTTATGGAGCCTTCTTCGGCCTGTCATACTGCAACCTTGCCTTGCAGGCCTTCGCTTGCAAGGATGGCAAGATCCGCTTGCTGAACCCTGAGCTGAATGCTCGGCGAATGCAGAAAGGTGCTGAGGCACTTCTGCTCCTCGGTACTGTGGCTTTGGGACTTCACTACTCCTTACTAATAACCCGAAGATGATTGTCTATTTACTGTATTTGTTAATTATTGTTATTTCTCACGTTTTTCTATTTTGTTTGCTTTTCATCCTTTGTTGAGACCATTGCTAGTTCTATTGACCTTGAAAGCACCCAAGCCAGGACCGCTGTCCGGGCTGCGAATTTGCCCGAATGTTGCCTTTTTAGTTGTCGCAACATCCAAGCGGACACGGCCAGGGTAGAATTGAATTTGGTATGATTTGGTCGAACGGCAAGCTGGTTCACAGAACTTGGGACCAGCTTGTCACCTTGGCCGGCAGGTAAGCTTCGATGTTTTTGTGAAAGACATTAATGTGTTGAAGCTGCAGATGTAAGGATGCCCAAAGTACCAACCGAAATGTTCATCAATGGCGTGATGGAAGCTATCAGAAGAAACAGAGAATTTGTCCCACCCTATGGACTCTTGGATTTTTGGCGTTGAAGCTGTTGTGTCAATCTCGCCTCATGAGCCAGCTTGGTGCAAAATACCTCTGAGAGAGAATGCTAGCAACTGAGGAAATAATGCGTCTATGTATATCCGGCCGCTGCTATTTGCAAGTGGCCAAATGCTGGGATTGGCACCACTGGCTAGCGAGTACACCTTCTTTGTGACGGTTTTACCAGCTGGTGGGTATTTTGGAAAGGGTAGCGAAGTTGGAGTCAAGGTGGGAGTCATCAACTTGTGGCTTGACATTTTGTGTATTGGTCAGGACAGGTCAGTTGGCAAGCTTTTCACTGATTCAATGGAGTTCCTAGCTTCATAGCATGGCCAACATCACATGTCGGCTCAGATCTGTTTCCAAACGGAAGTTTATGTTAGGGTCATGTTGAGCACCGAGGATGCTGCCGCCTGTTTGATTCGACCTGTTTGACTTTGGGAGGCCATGGTGAGCAACAATCACGACCGTGCTGCGCCCAAGGGTCTTGGCGCTGTGAAGGCAGCAGGGAACTACGCAGCAGACCTAGCCCCGGTGCACCAAGCGCACGCGGATGGCTACAACACCACCCTGTTGCCAGGCTTTGAGCAGGATTTTTTGCAAGACCTGACGTCCAATCTATACTACATGTACGTGTGTGATTTCTGCCTGAGAAGTTGACCTTCGAGATGTCATCCATCGGTTCGCCGGTGGCTCAAGGAACGAGAGGACTCGTGTGGTGCCGGCAGTGAAAGAGCGCGGCCGCGGGAAGGGAGGTCCCTTTTGATAGGTTAGGGTAGGATCCCTTAGGTTCGAGGTTAGAGGCCTCTAGGAGTTGGTAGAGGTTTGAGGATAGGCCGCTGCCAGTGTGTGCTCCTACGGGAGTCACATTGGTAGCGGAGCCTAAAGTGGCATCCGCAGGTAGGATCAAGCCATGGAAGGCTCCAGTTCAGGCAGTGATGACAAGGGTTCTGGAATCTGGGGATTGTTGCCCTCGTTTGACCCCAGCACGGACGACGCTCGTGAATATTTGGCGAAGGTGAAATTCCTGGACGGAATCTGTCCTAAGAAGGACCGGGCAATGTTGGCCCCAAGGCTTGCTATGTTGTGCAAGGGTACCGCTTGGCATCAAGTGAGAGCCCTGTCGCCCGAGATGCTGACAGACCCAGTCAATGGGATCAAGCACTATTTAGCTGCCCTACAGAGTTGGGAAGAGAGTTCAGAGCTTCGCACATTCGAATTGTTTGACAGAGCCATCTACAAAACAGTTCAAAAAGGTGATGAATCAACACAAAGTTATGTCAACAGGTTGAGCGTGGCCTTCGATGAAGTTGGACCTGACACAACTCTCAAGTCGGTCATTGCCTTCATCCTCCTGAAGCAAAGCAACCTGTCCCATGAAGACAAAAAGAAAGTGCTCACCATGACCAGTGGAGTCCTGGAGAAGACGGCCATTGAAGGTGCGATGCGATCCCTATCCACCAACGTGTTGACTGGATCAGGGAACATGGAAAAGAAGAAGATCTATCCCACCAACTACATCGAACCCGATGAACCCGAAGTTCCAAAAGAGGCCAACCAGGCCTATGCAGTGAATGTTGA